AAGGGGCACAGAAGGATATCAGTACCCAATACAATTGAACAAGTTTGGATGTTGCCGGCTTGGCCAGTCCGGTCCTTGTTCTTAATCCAGCTGCCACTTTTTGCACAACCCAGAAGGGGTGTGAGAGGGAGCAGTTTTGTTCAGGAAACCCACCACATTCTGCAGGTTCAGCTTCCCAGTCTCCAGTCCACTTTGCAGTGCCCCCGTTCCTGGTCGATGTGCACCCAGCTGACCAGGAGGCGCTTGCAAGACATGTGTCCCAGTGAGCAACAGTCTTCCATGCTCAGCACTGCTGCAGGCAAGAGCGAGTGGGGATTGAGCTCGGCTGCTTGGGGTAATAGCCAGGGACCTGCTCGCTGCACTCCCTTTCCATGCATGGCACACCTTGTTCTGACTGTCCAGGTAGGTTGCAGTGGGGAGAGGTGCTCCCTCAACTCTCCTGTTCTCAGGGTGAGTGAGGCCTGCATAAGTGAGAACCAGTCCCTGCAACGGGCTCAGAAGATTCTCACTATCCCATAGAAGTGGAGAGTCTTGAGTGTTTTGGCTTTGGCCAGTACAGCCCTTGTTCTCAATCCAGTTGCCACTGGATCCAGGGAAGAGAAGCTTGATGGGAAACAGGGCTGGGAGCACAGGGCTCCCAGGTTCTTAACAGGGACCCTTCATTAATAATCTGATTGCAGCTGCTTCTCCCCTGAGAACTGCAGAAGGAGGCTGGGTTTTTGCCTGGCTTCAGATTCATTTCCTCCCAATGTGTCACTTGCACAGTAATACATGGCTGTGTCCTCGGCTTTCAGGCTGTTCATTTGCAGGTACAGCATGTTGGAGGGGTTGTCCCTGGAGATGGTGAAGCGCCCCTTCACCTTGTCTGCATAGTATTGCTGGCTTCCATCAGACCAGATAATTGCAATCCATTCCAGGCCCTTCCCCGGGGCCTGTCGCACCCAGCTCATGCCATAGCTGCTGAAGGTGAAGCCGGAGGCCCGACAGGAGAGGCGGAGGGATTCCCCGGGTCTTTTCACATCCCCTCCAGACTCCTCCAGTTTTACCTGAGATTGGACACCTGCAAAAGAAGGAGTTTGCAATGAATCTGAGTGATGTGTAGAAGTCTGGCACACACCATCTCCCTGTTGCTGAAAGGGGAGATTTACCTGCAAGAACCGCAGAAAACAAAGCCAGCTGAATGAGTACTGCCATTTTCCCCCTGCGCAACTTGAGTGAGCAGGGATCTAAGGGACCGAGGGTGATATAGCTGGGCAGGCAGAGTGTCTCCTGGACTTAAAGAGGAAGCGGTCTCTGAAAATTTGCATATCAATCAGGATAAAAGCATGCACAAGGTACTTCTGAAATCCATTGCAGGAGGTGGGCATAGTCTTTGCTGATATTCTTCAGTGACATGAAAATGCACCAAGTGGGCAGGTCCAAGAAGAGTCATTTTCATCTATAAGTTCAGATTTTCTTTCTATGACCTCCAACACCCTCATCTCTTAGGGCACTTCACAGCTGAACAGAACACAGAATAAAAATGCCATACCAAAATACATCCATCATTCAAGAAATGTAAAATGATTGAGCATACTGTAAAATAGCAAGGCAGGTTCCAAACCAAATTAAAACAGCTGCCATTGGGAACACCACTTAGAATGCAAGACCTCTTCCGCAGCTGCTGTGGATCCAAAACCAAAGGAGCAAATGTAGCAGACTCTTGATCTGACAACCAGCGTCCTTTCCCATGCCACCTGCCACAGCTTGGTTTGCAGCATTGTGCTGGACGCACAACTTCTCTTCTGTGAGAGTTTCGAGATGTCCTATCAGGTTGACGTGCTTTCTGAGAGAGGGCTGTGCATGGGACAAACTCCTCGAATGATCGAGGGATGGTCTCTGCTGAGGTTCATCCCCACCCTATGCTTGACCAAAGAAAATGGGACAGGGGAATCAGGGGAACATGCAGATTTCTGGGAGTCATGGGGGGTCAGAACTGCTTCTTGAAAAACTAATCCATAAAGCTGCTCCTACATGCATCCATACTGCAGCTTGTCTTTTTGCTTTCTGTGGTCTCTGCTGCCCCAGCTGGTGAGTTTTTTCTAAAGTTACTGCATCCTCTCTCAGTTTTCTAGGTAACAGTCTGGCAGCTCTGCCCTGAACCAAGGTTGAGAAGGATGCTTTTGCAAGAAAGGTGTGTGGGTTGGCTGAGTGAGGAAGCAAGCCAGCCAATGAGAAAGGATGAGGCAAAAGGCTTCTCCATGCAGAGATGAATTCGGGCTGCAGGCATATGCATTGTACATGGCACTCCCTCAAGCATAACCTCCAAGAGGGTCAGGGAGAGTCATTCATCCAACTCTCTGTGCCTCATCATGTAGACTGAGATGGTGTCAGGAATGACTTCTGTGTGGCTTGGCTCACTTGCTGGAGTCACACACATCATGTTTCCTTTGGCTGTGGAGCGGATACCTTGGGCGGAGTTCATGGATTAGTCCTCTGGAGGCAGGAGCACATCACATGGAGCACCCACCCCCAGCATCAGTCCAGTGGGGAGTCATTCACACCCATCACACTTACTATGATACAAGAATCTCACAATTCAGCATGTGCGCTTCCTGATGTGATGCTGTTTTCGTACCTGGATTCTGTGCCAGAACAATTAAATTATTTCCAAGCTGAAGGCAGCAAGGTGAACAGGCCCATCATTTTCACCCTATCATTAAACTGGCATGTCAGCTTCTCTCGACAGCGCATTCCTCCTCATTGTATTTGTTTGCCTCTCACTGGGTCTGAGGGGCTTCCTCTCGGAGGCCATGCTTTGCCTGCAAGAGCAAGTGCCAGATATGGGTGCAAGAAACCCATAGAGACAACTGATATTTTCTTTTCCTGCAGATGTGGTGTGTGAGTGCATGCGCAAAATACCTCCTGGCTAGAAAAACTAAAACAAACAACTGAAGAAGTATCTTTTCCATTTGCAACTTCACACCACCAAACTCTGAGGCTGAATTCCCCCCCCCCTTCGTTTAACAAAGAGCATAATTTTGGATCCTGCAAATGCCTGCAGTGGGAAGCAGAAGGAGGAAGCTTCCAGGACAAAAGTCTTTTTAAAAAGGAGAAGAGTCTTGAAGACATTCAGTCAACGGCTTGACAAGGAGGAGGTATGGCCTTCACTGCATGCCATCAGTCATAGGAAGGAGAATGGTGGGACCCTGAGGAAGAAGGGAAGAGAGACTTGATGGGAAACTGGACTGGGAGCACAGGAGTCCTGAATTCTTCTCAGCAATGCTCCATGAGCTGTGTGACTCAATCCGCTGCAGTGCATCTCCCCAGAGAGCTGCCAGAATGAGGATGGGTTTTTGCCTGGCTTCAGATTCATTTCATCCCAGTGTGTGTCTTGCACAGTAATAAATGGCCGTGTCCTCGGATTTCTGGCTGTTCATTTGTAGGAACAGCATGCTGGCAGGGTTGTCTCTGGAGATGGTGAAGTGCCCCTTCACCGAGTCTGCATAGAGTTGTGGGCTCCCATCATGCCTTTTGTACGCAACCCATTCTGGTCCCATCCATGGGGCTTGTCGCACCCAGCTCATGTAGTAGCTGCTGAAGGTGAAGCCAGAGGCTTGACCAGAGAGGCGGAGGGACTCCTCGGGCCTTTTCACGTCCCCTCCAGACTTGTCCAGTTGGACTTGAGATTGGACACCTGCAAGAAAATGATTAAAAAATGGATGTTTTGTATATCTTGCAATCAAGCAACTCTCCATACATTGAATAAAGGGGGAAGTTTACCTGTTGTTATAATGTAAAACACAGCAAACTGAAAGAAAAATGTCATTTTTCCAGTGCAAGAATTCTCTGTGGTTTGAGGGCAAAGTGGTCCCAGTGCAGAGCGGTGAGGTTAGTGGAGCAGTGAGAGTGCCTGGTGGATTTAAAAACACTCTTTGAAAATTTGCATATGCTCTAAGATAAAAGCACCAACATGACTCCTTGGAAATCTATGAATGGAGGCCAGCATGGCTTTCCCAAGAATGCACTTCTTCAATATGGCACAATATTTGACCAAAATGTATGTGATTCTTCGATTGATTTTCTTTCTATTCCACCCAATCAAAACTGTTCTGTGTAGTTAGCAAAAGAGGAGAATGTAAAGTCCAGATTTTGGAATTTTGTACATCTGGAATCCCTAAGACAATTGGAACACAGGGCACCTTGGATGACATCCATCAAAATATAAAATTAAGAGCTGATCCAATGCCTTCTCATAACAGACAGACTTAATCTGGCACTGGAAATTCAGAATAGATGGAGTAAGGCGAGCCAGAGCCAGGATTCTAGGGCACCACCACCGAGAAAGTCATCCTCATTGCTGAAATTCAATAAAAAGTTTTTAACTCGGCACCAGGCACACCTCTCCAGGCAGCGCATTCGACAATCTGGGCGCCACGGCAGAGAAGGCCCTTATTCGGGTAGTTGTTCCTTTTATCTCCTTTAGTGGGGCCTCCCAGAGCAAAGCCTCTCCTGCAGATCTTAAGGGCCATGAGGACATGAAAGGTAAGAGGCGCTCCTTCAGGTACTCTTTTCCCAAGCTGTTCTCATAATGGACTGACTTAATCTGGCACCAGAAATTCAGTAGAGTTGGAGCAAGGCAAGCCAGAGCAAGGACTCTAGGGGGCCACAACCGAGAAAGTCATCCCCATTGCTGGCACTGACTGGGTCTTCTTTAGAGGTGACCAGCACAGGCAGGCCCCACATCTTGATCTGAGTGTCCAGGTAGGTTGCAGTGGGGAGGGGTGCTCCCTCAACTCTATTGGTCTCAAGGTGAGTAGAGCTGCGTAAGTGAGAACCAGACTTGAAAGGGGCACAGAAGGATATCGGTACCCAATACAACTGAAGCACTTTGGATGTTGCTGGCTTGTCCACTCCAGTCCTTATTCCCAATCCAGTTGCCACTGGATCCAGGGAAGAGAAGCTTGATGGAAACAGGGCTGGGAGCACAGGGCTCCCAAGTTCTTAGCAGGGACCCTCCATTAATAATCTGACTCAATGAACTGCAGCTGCTTCTCCCCAGAGAGCTGCCAAATGAGGCTGGGTTTTTGCCAGGCTTCAGATTCATTTCCTCCCAATGTGTCTCTTGCACAGTAATACACAGCTGTGTCCTCAGCTTTCAGGTTGTTCATTTGCAGGTACAGCATGTTGGAGGGGTTGTCTCTGGAGATGGTGAATCGCCCCTTCACCTTGTCTGCATAGTATTGCTGGCTCCCGTCATACCAGATAATTGCAATCCATTCCAGTCCCTTCCCCGGGGCCTGTCGCACCCAGTTCATGCCGTAGCTGCTGAAGGTGAAGCCGGAGGCCCGACAGGAGAGGCGGAGGGATTCCCCGGGTCTTTTCACATCCCCTCCAGACTCCTCCAGTTTTACCTGAGATTGGACACCTGCAAGAGAAGGAGTTTGCAATGAATCTGAGTGATGTGTAGAAGTCTGGCACACACCATCTCCCTGTTGCTGAAAGGGGAGATTTACCTGCAAGAACCGCAGAAAACAAAGCCAGCTGAATGAGTACTGCCATTTTCCCCCTGCGCAACTTGAGTGAGCAGGGATCCAAGGGACAGAGAGTGATATAGCTGGGCAGGCAGAGTGCCTCCTGGACTTAAAGAGGAAGCGGTCTCTGAAAATTTGCATATCAATCAGGATAAAAGCATGCACAAGGTACTTCTGAAATCCATTGCAGGAGGTGGGCATAGTCTTTGCTGATATTCTTCAGTGACATGAAAATGCACCAAGTGGGCAGGTCCAAGAAGAGTCATTTTCATCTATAAGTTCAGATTTTCTTTCTATGACCTCCAAATCCCTCCTGCCTTAGGGCACTTCACAGCTGAACAGAACACAGAATAAAAATGCAATACAAAAATACATCCAACATTCAAGAAATCTAAACTAATCAAGCTTACTTTAAAATAGTAAGGCAGGTTCCAAACCAAATTAAAACAGCTGCCATTGGGAACACCACTTAGAACTCAAGACCTCTTCCGCAGCTGCTGTGGATCCAAAACCAAAGGAGCAAAAGTAGCAGACTGTTGAGTTGACAATGAGCATCCTTTCCCATGCCACCTGCCACAGCTTGGTTTGCAACATTGTGCTGGATGCACAACTTCTGCGAGGGTTTCGAGATGTCCTATCAGGTTGACTTGCTTTCTGAGAGAGGGCTGTGCATGGGACAAACTCCACGAATGATCGAGGGATGGACACTGCTGAGTTTGAGCCCCACACTTAGCTTGACCAAAGGAAATGGCTGGTTTCTGCATAGACTGGCTGGCTCCCATCAGGGTTTGTGTATGCAAACCTTTAAAGGCCCTTTCTAAGAGGTTGCCGCAGCCAGTTCATGCTGTAGAGCAGGGTCCTCAAAGTCTTTTAGCAGGAGGCCAGTTGAAAGGTGCAGGGGATGGATGCAGGCCTCCAAGGAGGTGTGAGTGGGGGGGGGTGTGGGCCGGAGCTAGGGTGTGCGCATGGGCATGCACGCCTTGCAAGGTGGAGGCTTGCTCACAAGGAGATCCATTTCTTCGAGCGAGTCCAAAGTGACCTCCACACGGGCAAGTCCGTGCTTCGCCACACATGTGCTCGTGCACATGGTGAGTCCATAACCACTACAGGAGACCAGATAAATGGGCATGGTGGGCCAGATCTGGCCCACGGGCCGAGATTTGTGGACCCATGCTGTAGAGGTTGAAGGTGAAACCAGAGGCTTGGCAGGAGATATGGAGGGACTCCCCTGGCCTTCGGGAATCCTCTCCAGACTCAACCTTTCAGACCTCTGACTGCATGCCTACACGGAAACGATGTTTAACAGACTTGGTATATATTTTGACATCTAGCACATCTGTGCTGGTGAGTGGAGGAATTTTCTTCCCAGAGCTGCTGAGATGAAAGCAAGTTGGGTCCAACCTGTCATTTTCTGCCGCCACCTCTGCCTCAGTCCTTGGGCTTCCACCATGAATGCCTGGCCATGTGCGTGGCTCCTTTGACTGCAGAATGACTCCTGTGAAGTCCCTGAAAGGAGAAAGTGCTGTGATCTGCCGTGCAATGCAGTGAAACGAGGGCGTCAGGAGAGCATCCACCTTTCTTTTCTGATCTCCTCTGCATGGAGAAATAGATGGATGCTTGCTCTGGCTTTGGGGAAGCACCGGTGTGAGTGTGTGTTTGTTCAGTTGTGTGTGTTGGTAATTTCTCCTTTGCTCTGTCTTCCTCTGTGTATACACTGCATGATTCAGTGTGCCTAAGGCTGAATATCATTACCTCTCTGCGTTTCTTTCTCCCTCACGCACACACACAGAGAGAGGCATCTAGGCTTAAGAGAGCAAATTGGGGGTGCATGTACTCTTGTTCTTTATTTGGTTTTGAGAATTCCCAAGCTGTATTGCACAGTCAGGCACTTGAAGAGCAGCCAGACTGTCAGCAAATTCTCTAGTGTATTGTGTCTGCTTTGCTTTGGTCTGGTTTAGTTCCCCAGATGGGGAGGGAATAGTGGGAAAGGTCTGCCCCTCTAGATTCCTTTCTGTGCCTCAGCTGAGGAAGGAGAATCAGGGGAAAAGGCAGAAGTCTTGGGGTCATGAGGGAGTCAGAACGCTCCATAACGCTCCTCCTCTGTATTTATTCTGGAGCTTGGCGTTTTGCTTTCTGTGGTCTCTGCTGCCCCCTCTGGAGAATTTATTCAAGGGTTGATGAATTCCCCCACCGTCCTCAGAGGTCTAGTGGGATCCTTCTCAATGTGTCCATTGCACAGTAATGCAGACAGTAGCTCAGGCTTTCTATCTGCAGGAAGAAGGTGCAGCTGCCTTTGGGGGCTTGGAGTCCCCCTGGGACTCCAGGTGAGAAGCCATTTCCTCCAGAGTTGTAGTAGCTAACCAGACCCTCCATTACTTCAACTGTCTGTTGTGGGATTCTGCTCATGCAGCAGCTCTGAACATCAAACCCCATGACGGCAGTGATTGTTCTATGCGATTCTCTGGGTGGTTTCACTCCTGGATGGGTCTGGGCTGATGTCCTGGCAAAGCATGCCAGCTGGCTTTCCAGAGTCGATGAGGAGTGCTGGAGCACACAGAAGTGGCATGCCTTTTCTTACAGGGCAATGCAGCATCAGGTAGAACTGAAAAACACCTCCTGAATTCCCCGAGGAGGAACCTATGAGCAATCTATTTGCACCCTCCTGGAATTCAGGTTACTGGCCCCCATCGAGCTCTCCACTCTCCAGGTCACCCAGGACCGTATCTGACTCAATGATAGCAGAGCAAGAGAACAGACAGTCTGCAGCCCTGGGGCATCTCCAATTCAAATTCCCAAAAGGCACTTGGATGGAGAAAGATGGTTGCCCTAGATCCACAGGCTCAGGGCCTGCTGATAAGGGAGGGGGGGATGAGGAGGAGGGGGCTGGAAATGTGTCCCAATTCCAGATGTTGAGTTGAGAAAAGTGGAGGAACGTGTCTCAAGGGACGACTCCCCAAGAACACAGGCAGCTTCTGGAAAGATGTAAGGTTGGTTCAAGGGGGTTGAAACAGGGCAATTTCTCAGGAAGAGACGGGCCTGGTACAGATGCTTAGCCCACGATTTGACTTTGTGCGCAGATGAGGGTCCAAGAAGAGGAGAAGTGCTCACTTTTGGAAGGCTCCTCCCGAAGTGATGGGGCCCAGGCCTGTTCACATGGGGAGTTCCTGGACATCACTACTAGATTGGGTTATGGACCCACTCTGCACATGCTGAGAGATTCTGTCTGGGCGTTTATGCTTCTTGAAAGCACTTTGGCCAGTAAAGTATGTTTTTTCACCAAAGTTTTGTGGGTTTGATGTGTGAAGAAAGGAAGCCAGCTCGGGATGAAGGATGAAGCAAAAAGCATCTTCATTCCTAGATTACTTAACCACAACCACAGCCTATGTCCAGTGGATAGATATACAAATGTGTCACACACACTGTGCTACAAGAATACCCACAAAGGAGCATGTGCACTTTCTGATGAACTGTCTGACTCAATCCACTGCAGCTGCATCTTCCCAGAGAGCTGATGAGTGAGGCTGGGTTTTTGCCTGGCTTCAGATTCATTTCCTCCCGCTGTGTCTCTTGCACAGTAATACAGGGCCGTGTCCTCGGCTTTCAGGTTGTTCATTTGCAGGAACAGCATGTTGGAGGGGTTGTCCCTGGAGATGGTGAAGCGCTCCTTCACCTTGTCTGCATAGTATTGTTGGCTCCCATCACACCAGATAATTGCAATCCATTCCAGGCCCTTCCCCGGGTATTGTTGCACCCAGCTCATGCCGTAGTCGCTGAAGGTGAAGCCAGAGGCCCGACAGGAGAGGCGGAGGGATTCCCCGGGTCTTTTCACATCCCCTCCAGACTCCTCCAGATTGACCTGAGATTGGACACCTGCAAGAGAAGGATTTTTAAATGGATCTGAGCAATGTGTGGAAGCCTGGCCCTCACCACCTCCTTTTTGGTGAAAGGGGAGATTTACCTGCAAGAACTGAAGAAAACAAAGCCAGCTAAATGAATACTGCCATTTCCCTCTGCAAAATTTGAGTGAGCAGGGCTCCTGGGTGCAGAAGGTGATGTAGCTGGGCTGGGCGAGAGTCTCCTGTACTTAAAGAGGAGGAGGTCTCTCAAAATTTGCATATGTATCAGGATAAAAGCATGCACAAAAGTCTTCTGAAATCCATTGCTGGAGGTGGGCATAGTCTTCACAGACCTTGTTCGCTGATATACAAATGCACCAAGTGAGCAGGTTCAAGCAGAATCTTTTTCATTTATATGTTTAGTTTGTTCTTTTAATGACCTCCAATACTCAAATCTCTCAGAACAGATCACAGTCGAACAGAACACAGAATAAAAATGCAATACATAAATACAGCTAACATTAAACTAAACTAAACTAATCCAGCATACAGTAAACTGTCAAACCAGATTCAAACCAAATCAGAACAGCTGCCATAGCTAACAGCACTTGCAAAGCAAGACCACTACTGCAGCTGCTGTGGAACAAAAACCAAAGGAGCAAAACTAGCAGAGTTTTGAATTGGAAAAGGAGTGTCTTTTCTCATGCCTCCTGCAGCTACCTCATGTGAAACATGCTGGATGCACACTTTTTCATCTGTGAGAGTTTCGAGACTTCCTCTCAGCCTTCCTTGCTTTCTATGAGAGGGCTGTATATGGGGCAAACTCCACAACTGATCGAGGGATGGACTCTGCTGAGGTTCATCCCCACCCTAAGCTTGACCAAAGGAAATGGGACAGGGAAATCAGGGGGACGTGCAGATTTCTGGGGGTCATGGGTGAGTCAGAACTGCTTCCTTGAAAAACTAATCCATAAAGCTCCTCCTACATGCATCCATTCTGCAGCTTGACTTCATCCATTTAAGCGAAGTGGGAATTTTACCTTCAAGAACAGTGTAAAATAACGCAAAATTATATAATAATGTCATTTTCCCCCTACAATAATTCTCTTTGGTTTGAGTGCAAAGCAGTCCCAGTGCAGAGGGGTGAGGTTAGTGGGGCAGTGAGAGTGTCTGGTGGATTTAAAGAGGAACCAGTCTTTGAAAATTTGCATATGCCCCAAGATAAGAGCATAACATGGTTCCTTGGAAAT